ACATGGCTTGGTACCTTCTCCAGCCGGGTAGGTTACATCTTGCTTCTCGGTGGTCTGGGCATGAATGAGAGGAATGGGCTTCCTTCTTTCCAGCATTCTCCTGTTCTCATCTCCCTGCCTCTACTTCCTGTCTGGTTGACCCACCTATACTTCCTGCCTGGCTAATCAACGTTTTATTAAAATACATGATTGACAGAATACAGATAATTCTCCTGCACCAAATCTTTAGGTATAAATATAAATATTTAGAAATCAGACTGGCAATATATCGATTTAGCAAAACAACATTAGTAGTTACCATCTCTAGGGCCTAAGATCCACCCCACCCCCAAAGCCACGGTCCTTTGACCAGATTTACAGTACCAGACATGAATTACTATGGAATCGGCCTCAAATCCAAGCTGAAAGTAGGTGGTAACTCCCATAACACTTGTGTCACTAATGCACAGTAGGCACATCTTGCCTGACAGGTCAATACTGTAGCATACAAGGCCCATTGCTAGGCATGGCCATTGATGACTTTTCTCCTCCAACAGCCTGCACAGCATCTTCTGGCATCATCAAAGCTAGCGATCAGGGAGGAAAATCCAGTTCATTTACTACTTGTTTGCTTTATAAGCGATGACCAAAGCATGTAGTGTGTTCAGCAACAGTCATGTCATCTATTTCTGTTATACAACCAAGAGCAATGGAAAATAACCTGAATGGGTGTGTGTGAAGAGACTACCCTGGAGTCTCCCTGACCAAAATTGCATAGGGAAATATTTCCCCTGGCACTGATATTTCATATATATATATATGTATATATATATATTACCTGATATATTATCTTCATATAATAACCTGTGACTTCTTGGAGCCATATTGTTCACCCACTCACAGCACCTCCATTCAAACCCCTCCTTATCATCACGTAGTTTAATTATCTTACAGACAAGAAGATATGACTTCTTCATCCATCCCTAGTCTTGACTAATCATCTCCACTCCTCTCTCTACATTCTTCTCTTCTCCATCTTCTGTAGATGGATTTTTCTTTAGGCTACCAGCTCATAAAATATGACATGGAGACTTATTATTAATTATGAAATATTGCCTTATCTTAGGCTTGTCCTATTTGCTTTTATAACCTAAATTAACCTATATCTTTTAATTGATGTTCTTTAATGTGACTTGGTTACCTTTACTCTGTATCACCCATTCTGCTTCCTCAACATCTGGCTAGCAACTCTTCCTTTACTTCTCTGTCTCCAGAAGTACCACCTAACATCTTCCTGCCTAGCTAGTGACCATTCAGCTCTTTATTTAACCAATCACAGTGACACATCTTCATACTGTGTAAAGGAATATTCCATAACAATCTTCCACCTGTCACTCCCCACTTCAACTTTTCCATCCCCAGTGTTCCTCCTCTCTATTTTCCTAACACATCTGGAGCACACATTTTTAACAAAAATGATAGAAGAGACAGAGGTCCTAGGCTTGGTGCAGAGATGAGCTAGTTTGTTATCTAGGGTCAAGATGAAAAGGAACAGTAGACATATGCAAGTAGGCTTTGAGGACAATGGCAGAGTAAGTCCATCCAATGGATCAAGCTCTAGATAGAGTGGGCAGTTATCTCTTTTACGTGAAACAAAGGATAGCCTGATAAGAGCTAGAGAGATGGCTCTGCAGTTAAGAATACTCGGCTGTTTTGGAGAGGACTGGATTTAGTTCTAGGCTATTCCACCAGGTGGCTCCCGTTCCGGAGGATCCGGTGTCCTCCTCTGGCCACTGCTTCATTTTAAGAAATCTATGGGAGCCTAGATGCGTAGAGTGGGAAACAAGGTAGAGGCATGTAGGTGTATAGTGAGTAGGCTAAATGTGAGCAGGCCAGTGCCAACAGCAGAGAACCCACAGAGAAAGACACAATGGGCCCCCAAGTAGACACAGGGGCTTGGCCATATGACATCAGCCATCTTAAGCTACTAACAACTTGGCTTTGGCACGGGGGATAGAGCCCTCTGTTGGTGTTTGTGCATGGTCCTAGCAAACGGCTCAACTAAGGTAAGCTGAGTGAGTTACTGTTTTGTTGCTGCTTGTCCATCAGTTTGTGAGTACTGAGAATGGAACAGGGCCTTGTGTATGTTAAGCAATTGCTTGAATACCTATTGCAAGCCCAGTCCTATAGTGTTTACTTGTGTATGTTAAGCAATTGCTTGAATACCTATTGCAAGCCCAGTCCTATAGTGTTTACTTTGCTATCAAATGTCTGCCCTCAACAGAGCTGAACATCGAATCTACAATACAGCTCCATTCCTCCATGAAGCCATCAGCTTCTTCAATACTTAGCGCCCCTTCCATCTTGCCAGGATGACGATTCATTACCACAGGGCAAAATCGGTGCTCTTAACCAAATTCTCCCAACCAGTTTACACATCAGTCTCACTTCCCAGATTCAAGTTCCTCTGGAAAGAGGGCAGTAGGAGCTGGGGACTGTTTATCACAGGAATCCACACCAAACATTCTGGTGTGAACCACAGAGGAAGGTCTCAAGCAACTTGCTTCTACGGCCTTCCTAGGATCCTTTGCTCCACCTCTGTCTCCTAACTGCCTTTAGCATGCCGTATGCATTTCAGGGTTGGACACTGCTGGATCACAGGCTCTACTATCAGCTAAATGATGGTTGCAGTTGTAAAAATCTGCCAAATGCCATTATAAAATGATTACTTGGGCTATCCAAACAGTTTTCTTCGTTGTTATTTGGAGCGGTGACAAGTCTCATAGTTCAACCTCTCTTATGAGTTTGAGTGAGTGATCAGGACATGTAGTGATGGGGTTGGTTTTTTCCAGTCCTGGATATGCTGACCAGAAGGGAAAGGGTATCTTTCCAGCAGATAACAAGGGAGGGGAGAGCACTTCAAAGCACCAAGTATCAGAGGTAGAAAAACTGCAATGGCGCAGCAGGAGTAGAAGTCTTGACTGGTAAGGAAGAGAAAAGTTCTGCCTAAAGCGCCTCCACTCATTGCTCCCCACTATGGGTTTCGGAGTTGAGCTCACTGTTTGCTGTTTTTAGTTTTGCGGACGTGTTCAGCAAACACAGCCATGTACTGAACCTAGGACTGGGAGCTTAGGGGATGCGGGCTCAGGTAGAAAGAGGCCACAAGATTATCTAGCCTGATTCTGAACTCAGGGGACCACGGTATATGGCACGGCAAAAGCCAACGTAAAAGAGCCAGCCCAGACTTTGTTCTGGGCAAGGAAATCCAGTTACACCCTCATTCAGGTGGGAGCCAGTACAGTAGAAGCCAGGACAAAGTTTTCTCCCCATAAAATGTCAGAGCCAGAACATCTTGGCTCTGGGGCTGTGCTTTGAGAAGTAGCCCAGGGTTATGCAACTGTATGTGTCTGCAGTGGCCTCAAAGTCTTCAAACCGTTGCTAAGTTAATTACATTCTGAAGGCACATTTAATATGCACGATTTATAAGGTGAAAGTGTGATGTTGACTTTACAATGTGAATTTAATTCACTATAATCCTGAAACCGCTTTAATTTTAGTCTTTCAAATACCAAAATGAGAGGGGGGAAGGGGAGGAAGAAAGGGGGAAGGAAGGAATCAAGGGAGAATTTCATGGACAGATGAAAACTTGCAAGGGGTTTTTGTTTTAGCATTTGATTAGAGTAAGACGCCTGCTTCCTCTTGCTGTGACCTAAGGAAAGGATATCAGCACTGGCTCATGTTTTCTGGGAATTTATTGCAACTTTTTTTTTACCTTTATTCTACATACTACCTTTATGATTAAAGCAACAGCTGCTGTTTCTTGATTAACATAAGAAAACAGGGTTTCCTAAACATTAGGAAAACAAGATTTATAGAGAATAAATAATCTGGCCTTTATTATTTTCCCCTCAAAAACTTGAAGGGATGAGAAACCTGGCTTCAGAGCCTATGTGATTCAACACAGTGTGATATTGTGTCCTAAGGAGCAGAGAGGGGAATACCAGGTCTTAACTACCTCTCAGTGACCCGCATGAGAGGGATTAGTTCAGGGAATGAGCCTCCGAGGGCAGCGCCTTGTGCAGTTCCTCACTACTCAAGGGTGCCACTTCCAAGAGAATGTCTCTCATGATGCAGGTGCATTCAAAATTATCCAAGAGGCTATGGGGTGGGTGGGTGGGTGGGTGAAGACCAGGAACTCTGGAATGGGAACCAAGTGGGAACTTATGCTGGCCAAGTACTGGCGTAGCAATGGATATGATTGTCACAGTTACCAGAACACGTGTACACACACTCACATGTGTGCACATACACTAGGGGAGGGAAGAAAAGATGGAGGAGAGAGAGAGAGAGAGAGAGAGAGAGAGAGAGAGAGAGAGAGAGAGACCTAGCTATACTCCAAGAATCCCACTTCGACTTCAACGTCTTCATGCCTGGGAAAGCACTGGATAATATCCACAGCTGCCCACGGTTGCTCATGTTGTCTAGCAAAGTGCCAACTGAATTCATTCTAAGGAAGAAGGGCCTTTTGATTTGACCCAAGGGTGCCATTATCTATGAGGGGTGCTGGAAATGGCCCTCATAGGTTACAGCATCCTTCCTCCTTTGGGCTCCTTTGTTTTGAGTGCTTAGGCTGTATCAGTTTCAGACCAAGAGACCGAGTAGGAGCATTGTATCTTTCCCAACGAAAAGAGCCTCTATAGACAGTTTCCCAAGGGGAATTCCTGTGGTGTTTTCAAGCGCATCGTCTGCTTAGGCCAGACTTGTCCACGCTTTCTTTCTCTGAAGACCATCTCACTAAGTTTATTGTCCTTTGTTTAGGACGCAAGTTGGTGAGCACCAGAGCATGCATTTAAACTAAAGTCACTGAAGCAAACCCCTCAAATTCCTTCTTCACAGGAGTTCAGGTCAGCAGTGGGGCAGCAGCTGATGGCCAGCTTTCGGGAAATTCCTCTCCTGAATCCTGAAATCCCCTTCTCTCCTGCTCAGGTCATTGTATCACTGGTTCTGGAGGTTCCCAGGAAGGCTTCTGAGATGGGGCCCCCTAAAAGTCTGGACCTCTAACAGGGTATAAGAGAAGAGAGAGAAGGTAGGGACCGATATACTTCCCTGAAGCTACTGTCATCAGCCCTGGAAAAGATTCCAGAGAAAGAAGTGATAGTGAGGACAAGAGGCCAGAACTGACTTTCTCTCTGCAGTAAAATCAAGAGAAGGGACCCTGGTACCAACAGCAAGAGGTGAGTGGTAGGGTTACCTCCTCAGCCCCAGTCTTCCAGTACCAGCCCCTGTTACCATCCCTACGCCATCCTGACTGCTCGCTCTCCACATTTAGAGAAAGCAGCTAGCCAACACCGAAACACCTTGGATAAAAGAAAAAGTCCAACTTGATTTTGTTCTGGACCAAGATGGATCAAGATTCCCCTGCTAAGTCCAGAGAACAAAAGGTAACATGACTTTCTCTTGGCGGTCTGGTTCTTACTCTAAGAGCGGGAAGCAGTCTGCAGCAGCCACTGTGACTTCTGCTCTAGGGGTCTCGCCTCAGAGCAGATGCGCTCTCTCCAGAGGCCGAAGACTCGGGAGTTCAGGCCCCAGCAATTCTCCTTTGTACCCTCTACTTACAGCCAAGTACTCCGAGTCTGAAACCCTGGGAAGGTAGAGCCAGCACATATTAGATGCAGAGCACACCGCTGCCCAGGCAAGGCTCTTCTTTTGCAGTGGAGGGGTATAAGCATCAGGGTCCACTTAGCAGCCTCCAGCAAAGCCAAGCCTGTACCCTTCCCTCTGCACATGCCAGGTCATCCCACAGAGTGGGGATGAAGGCAGAAGAAAAGTAGCGTTCAGAGGGGCTAAGGGAGGGCAGGGAAGTCACACACTGGCCTGTAGTGAAAATGGGGGAGGCTGTGTTTCCAGCAGGACCCAGGGGGCACAGGGCTCTTCAACTCTAATTGTGGTGCAGTGGGACTCCCAGTCTCCTGCAGAAAGGATTCCTGAAGGTCATTGCCAGGGAAGGTGACTGGACACATTCCATTGAATGATGTCCTTTCAGCCCCCAATCAAGACTGATAAGTAGCTAGGAACATTTTATTTTATCGCGTACTGTGCTTCCTCATTGCCCCGTGGAGGCAGCTTTGCTCATGAAGCTGTCACACCATTGAGCTTCAGAAGAACTGGGCGGCATGGTGATACTGGCCTTTATATGAACTGTATTAGGACTTGGCACTTTGGAAACGGTAGCCTGGGGCAGTCAGAGTATCAGGCATGAAAGGAGCCTGGATGTGGTGAATATTAATCAAACTAGGAACTAGGTGCAGCCACACCCTGGGAAACCCTGGAGAGGATGGGGTATGGCAGGGAAGGGCAGAGACTGCCCTTGAGAGCGCCCAAGGGAGGGGACTCGCTAAAGGGTGGGGTGGAGGGAGCTGGAAGAGGAAAGAAATTTAAGTCTTTTCAAACTAACTGCTCTGGGTCCCTAGTCAGTAGGGCAGCCAAAGGCTCTAGATCACATGACTGATTAGAGCCAAACAAGGTGACAAGTAGCTGCTAGGAGCCTAGTCTAGAGTCTTTGTCTTTTCCTTTCCTCCTCTCTCTTCCCTTCTCCGTTTCTCTTCTATTCCTCTTTTGCTCTTTCTCCTGCTTTCTCTCTTTCCACCCCCATTCCCTTTTCTCCTCCTTTGAGCCAACCCCGCACTACTTGGTATAGCTGGGAGTCAAGAGGGTGCCTTACTGTGTGCCATACCACCGACTTAAAGTTGATGCGCTGATCGTTCTTAAGAGTGGCAAAATACATGTTCACATTGAAAGAAAAAACAATGACATCCGAGAGACCAGAGAATCACAGTTAAACACCGATGAAAATCCTCGAAGAACACAGATGTTGTGGCTGAGGTACAATCTCAGTCTTTTAATCACTGAGAAGTGACCCATTTGGGGTTCCCTGACAGAATACTGGGTTCCTGCTCCCAGTAGCTGCCCACGGGGCTCACACTATGCTCAGTCTAGTTTTGAAGCCTAAAAGTGAAAGGCTGTGACACAAGGCTCTGCTTCCAGTGAGTTCCCAAGGCCAGCGAAAGGATGCAAAACCGAAGGTCAGATGGAGATGAAGAGGGTCCAAGGGAGTTTTCTAGAGACTGTGAAAAGAAACAGAATGTGCCCCAGGGCCCGCAGGGTGAAGGTTTAGTTTTAACTCAGCCGCCCTTGTACAGGGAAGCACAAGGCTCCCCGCTGAAGAAACAACTCCTCTCTGCAAGAAGAAAGAATGAAAAGAGAAAGAGGAGGGATGCCCTGCATCCCAGGAATGTGGTACCCCATACATAGTATCCCTCAGTGACTCAGAGAAGAGCCAGGTCCCTGAGAACACCCTTTCCGAGCATCACGATTCTACCAGTGCTCCCGGGTTGAATGAGTTCTTCCCGCTCTGCACTGCTCTGCAGAGCCCCACTTCCCAGCACAGGCAGCTCTCTGACTCTGCCCTTCAGGTAGACCCATGCAGCTACTGGAGCAAACTGAGATTCCACAGCGAGAGTGCTCAAACCTGAACCCCCCACCCCACTCCCGCCACTCACTCTAGCTTCTCATACATCTCCCTCGGGCCTCTTGTCTTTGGTTGCAGGTCTCCAGCCAAAGAACAAGGTGGAAAATACTCCTGCTCATACTCTGCCTGCTCCACGGTGAGTCTACAAACACAGCCCAGCGTCAGGCTTCAGAGGCTGCTGGGGACCTGGCAGTGGAATTTAGCCCAACCAGGCAGATGGTTGTCTTCTCTTCTGGGATTCAATACTGAATTGCTGTGGCTATGGGCACCAGGGAATGGCAGACGTGAGAGATCACCAGAGATTGCATATGCCTGGCTCAATCAATGACATCTACAACAGCCATTGTTTAGACAGCCACCCCAACACACACACACACACACACACACACACACACTACCTAGGCCCCCACCTCCATCCCTCTACCCCCATCCACACCTGCTCTCTTTTAATGAAATGGATGACTTGAAAATTAACTGTTTGTTTACAAGGTGTGCCAAGGTCCCAAGGCATGCAAAACAAAAATGTTACAGCCTTCGCTTCTGTTCGTTTTACAGACACTTCCGTGCCAGACACGGCATTCGCTATATAAAAATGGAGACCTTATGCTACATGCATAAAGAAGTCAGTATGCAAAGAAATGATATGATAAGCAGTTCATGCATTTAGCCACTTACTTAAGGCGTGTTTATGAAGGGCTTAGTGTGTGCCAGGAGTGGAGGACAATGAGATGAGAGATAGAATCCAGTCCTAACAATGTTCGCAGCCTGCTGTGCTGAGGCAGGCCAGCAACAGACCAGGCAAGGGGGTGGATGAGCCTTTCTTTCCCCATGCGGTGCTGTGTAAGTTTTATTATGATGGTAATGGTGAGAGTCATTGAAGCATGTAGTGTGTGTGTGTGTGTGTGTGTGTGTGTGTGTGTGTGTGCTACTTAGACTCTAGTCCAGGGAAGTGTTTTACAAATCATTATTGAATTCGTTAATGAGTGAAAACATTACAATAACACTAAAAATGGATTAACCATGTATGGCTAATCAACAAATCAGAGTGAACCAACAGTCGGTGCTGTCCGGTGTGTGGTGTAGAACTCCTAATCTCTCACTGGAAGGCACAGGAGCTCTCTGTTCACATAGAGGTAACAGTCCTCTTTATGGCTCGTGTAATCTAAACTCAATTCTTCTAAGTATTCCATTACCTATTTTGGTCAGTACTTTAAAACTCATCCAGGAACATGTCCCTGCATCTCCACAGGGACTGTGAATTAAGATGTGTAGTCTCTGGCTGCCCCCACCTCTGCTTCGCCACTTGACACCCAGCAGGATGAGAGTCAGTGTGATGCTCTTAGTCCATGGGATGCGGGGCAGTAATTAGAGGTGACTCCACATTTATTTCCAGAGAATGGCTTTGTAGGCATTTAGTGTTCTCTGATAGCTTGGCTTCTCCCTTTGCCCAGGTTCATCCATGACCTCTCCACACAGAAGACCCCATTCTGGAGAGCTTCAGGCTGGCTCTTCCCCTTCCAGGACCCCTCTCTGCACTATGGAAGCACACAGGGCTCCAACACCCCCTTGCTGCTGGAAAAACTCCCTTACAGGTACAGCCCCTCCTCTCCCTCCATCTGGCCAAAGAGCTCCTTTGTCAAACCAAGTCCTGGTCCTGTGTAAGGTCTGTCTCCACACCCCTACCCCCAGGGGAAGTCATAGCAACACACTACTGTTCGGTAATGATAGAGATGAGTGAGATCCCGGGTCCCCCACATCCACCAGGAAGCAGAGAATTAGCAACAGGCTCTCCAGGTGCCTTGATCCCAAATGTCAGCCCATTCTTTAATTCTCACAATTGACTGGTTAGTCACTCACCACTTGAGTACTTGAGGTGTTGGTTCTTAATTCTGGTAATAATGAAAAGTTATGTTACAAGAGTCAATCAAAGATTCTCAATCAGCAGAGCTAGACAGCCTCACCCCCAACTAGTACAGTGCTCCTTTTAAATGTGCCAATTCTAGAACACAAGAACCCCTAGAATCTAGGGTGTGAACATTGCAATAATAATAATTTTAGTAATTTTAATGCTGAATAATATTCTTGCTTTTTAAATATAAAATGTAATACCAGTAGTACCAGAAACCTTGATCGTGAGTGGTGTGGTTTGGAGCATGTTGTTAAGTTAAGCCTTCAGTGGTATTGCTACAACCAAAGCGGTCATGATTGCTGATTGCTACTCTCCTGTAATTAGACCTTAGGTCACACATAAGAGACAAGCCTCTTACAAATCCATCTGTACTCAGAAGGTGGCTTTATGCTCTGCTGTTCCTATTGCTGGTTTGTCTTTGTCTTCTTAGTCTATTTTTTTAGTTTTATTTATATTAGTATATATTAGTTATATATAACAGTGGGCTTCATTATGTTTTATATATGTCTATGTATTTTGATCATCTCCACCCTGCCACCCTCTCTGGCCCCTCTTCCATTCTAGCAGATTCCCTTCCTCTTCCTAACTAGTCGCCTTTAGCTTTCATGTCGTGTGTGTGTGTCCATCCCAATTACTTTAATTAGGGTGGCTTGCAGGAGCATGAAGGCTTGTTTACAGGAATACGGTCAGCTTACTGGTGTCTACACCACCAACCATTAACTACCAATAGATCCTCAGAGAAGGGTACCTCACGAGACCCTCCCCCAGCAGGCATTAACTACCATAAGTCCTCACGGAGGGTGGGGCCTCCTGAGCCCCTCTCATCTCCATATTAGAATATCGGCAGACCTGTTCTGGTGTCAGTCTTGTAATCACAGTGACTAGGAATTCTTGTGTCTGTGCTCGTCAGGAAGACTGGCTGAGAGTTTTCCTTTCTACTGCGTCTCCAACTGGATTTGATATCTGCTAACACTGGTTTAGCAGAGAGTTTAGAGGTGCTCCTTGTTTTCCTTTATCATGCAATGGTTTGGGAAGCAGTGGCGTTAATTCTGAAGGTCTGGGAGAATCCGCCTGTGAATCCACCGGGGCCAGGAAGTTGCTTATTCCTCCTTCAATCTCACTGCCTTTCACAGACACATTAGATTGTTTAGTTCTTTTTGGTTTAATTTAATATGCAACTGGATATATTTATTTCTTTTGGATTCCAGTTTAGTGGAACATATTTTTAGGGTATGTACTAATAATTTTCTGCATCTCATTAGTGTTTTTTGTTAACATATCCCTTTCATCTCTAACTTCATTGATTTGGTCTCCTCTTGTTTTTTGTTACTTTGACTAGGAGTTGGTCAATCTTATTTATCTTATCAAAAAGCGAGCTCCCTGTTTACAAAATTCTTATTACTATAGCAAAAATTTATTATAACAAAAATCTTCTTTATTTCTATTGTACTAATTTATGCCATAATCTTAATTATTTCTTCCCATCTACTGATTTGGGGTTTAGTTTAGTTTTTTTCCAAAAAACCTAAGGCATATCGTCAAGACATTTGAAATACCCACGTATAGAAATTTTCCTATCAGAACAGTTTTTGTTGATTTCCATAGGTTTTGCTATGTTGTGTCTTCATTTGAATTCTAAGATTTTTGGTTTTTCGAGACAGAATTTCTCTGTGTATCCTTGGCTGTTCTGGAATTCACTCTGTAGACCAGGCTGGCCTCAAACTCACAGAGATCCGCCTGCCTCTGCCTCTCTGAGTGTTGGGATTAAAGGCGTGCACCACCACTGCCTGGAGTGTTCTGTAGTTTCTTTAGTTATTATTGAATATTAATTTTATTCTATTGTATCCATTTAGAATACAATGGATTTTTCAATTTTCCTATATTTATTAAGATTTGCTTTGTGTCCTAAAATATGACCCATTGGGCTGCTGAGGAGAATGTGTATTATGCCATATCTGGTCAGAATGTTCTGTAACTCTCTGTCGGATCCACTGGTCCATTTGATTATGATATCATCTTTCTCAGATGTTGCTGTTTGTTTGTGTCAACATGACTGTCTGTCAAGCAGGGTAGTGATGTCACCCAGTCTTACTGTGTTAGGATTAATATATGTCATTATATTTCCCATATTTGGATGTCCTTGTGTTCTGTGTGTGTTTGGAATTGAAATATCCTCTTGAGAACTGCTCCCTCAGTCATCATGAAATGTATCTATTTGGATGGTATTGGAAAAATGATGATTGTTTGTTTCCAAGATCAATTTGCTTAGAAGATCTTTCCCCACGGTGTTGCCCTAAGATAGTATTAATCCATCTTTTATGAGAAATTGAAATGTGTGTACTAATTCCTATCAAATTTTGTTCTGTTTGGGGTTTTCTTATTTCTCTCTTGTTTAACTATTAATATTCAAGACTGGTTTATCCTTTCCTGCTACCCCGTGGGTACATTTGGCTTTCCCTTCAGTCAGAAGGATTTCTTGGAGTATCTTCCACTAAGCTGAGCTAGGAGTTATACATTCCTTTAGCACATTTTAATTGTGGAAATTTTTTTCTCCTTCAGTGACAGATAACTTTGATGGAGATCACAGTCTGTGTTGGCAATTGTTACCTTTCAAGACTTGAAATAGAGTATTCCAAGCTCTCCTGGCTTTCAGAGTTCCTATGGAGAAATCTTCTGTTACTCTGATGGGCCTGCATATATATGGGCCTGGATGTTTGTTGGGTGTTTCCTATGCATTCCCCTTGTTCTCTATATTTAGCAGTTAAATTATATGATAAGAGGAGCTCTCTTCTGGTCTCATCTGTTTGGTGTTCTAAGTATCTCCTGTATCTCGATTGGCATCACTTTCAAAATTTCTTGAAAATGTAAAGGTTCACAGGGACCTTAGCCAACTTCTTTTGCCCAATTAAACAGCCAGTTCTTATTCACTCGGCTGTTGGCTAGTCAGGGGGATGTGAGGAAATCGCGTTTCTGGTGGTTTCCATGGCCTCTGCCCAGGTATTTCGGATCATCCAGGGGCTGATTTCCAGATGTGTCTGTTGACATCCTCACAAGCTGGGTAGTGTTTTTGAGGCAGGCCTCACTCTGTAGCTTAGGCTGGCACTAAATTCAAAGCTTTTCCTGCTCCTGTTTCTTGATGAGATTGCAGCATGCGCTGTCATACGCAACCTCACCTTGAATTGAGATAATTCTGACAAGGAGTTTCGCATTTTTCCCTTTTGCCAGGATCCACAAGTTCATTAACTGTTCCCAGCAGGGGAATACTGATCCAAAGTTTCTCGGGGTCAGAAGCCCTAAACACACTACAAATTACCACATACTCATGTCCCAAGCCGAAATGTTTGGTGGCCTTTCTGTAGGAAGAAATTATGAAGCTGATTTCAACAATAGCCCAGCTGGCAGCCATCCTGGCTCCTAAGGAAGGTCAAAGAACCCTAGGAGAGCTGAGGAGCTCCCTGTCAAAACTACTCTGGACAGAGATGGGCCACTTCCTCTTGCTCTAATCTAAGGGAAAGAATGTCTAGAGAGAGACCAAATAAATTTGCCATTATACTTCAGGTTTTCTCTGACAGAAGGACAAAGTGTGCTTCCTTTGACCCAGTTTAAGGTCCTCAACAAGGAGAACCAGTCACAGGGGATTGTGACCACAAAAGAGGTACAAATAGCCAGAAGTCACAGGGCTGTTATGGTATTCATAGAAGGCCAGCAAAATGAGAAGCCATCCGTGCAATGAGAAAACTAGAGACAGAAGCTGCCAAAGAGATATCTGGGCAGCAAACAAAAAAAGAGACTACTTTGGACACTAGCCAGGTAAAGAAAGGCTGTCTTATGTAACACTACTCCCTTCTCTGTGCTCGTCCTGGAAGGTCCCCAGGCCTCAGCTCTGAGGAGCCAAAGAAAGCAAAGCAAGAGACCCAACCCATCCATCTCTTCCCTGGAAGTCTCTGAGCCTAGTGGGAACAAAGAAAAAACCTTTAGCTAGATGAGACACTGTCTGCTTTCACATTGGTCTGGATGTAGAACTTTAGGCTAGGCTAGACTCTGTGCCAGAAGAGGCAGCGAATCTACTGTACACAGATTATGCCGGGTATCTCATGAAGTAGCAGAGAGTCCAGAGATGGTGGGAAAAGTCAGTGAAAGAATAAACCTTGTTCATGCTTAAACCTAATCAAGTTAAAGGCTTCCTACATGTTGGCTTATATATACCCAGCTCAGCTAATATTGCTAAAGCAGGTGTATTCGTGATACTTCTTGCCTGTGCTCTTGCAGCAACTGTGTGCCACGTGTGTACAGTGTTCTGTTCTATAGAGAAGAGGCCAGCATGGGAAAATGCCAGCCATTGATCTGGAGGACTTATCAACGCAGCAGAGCAGAATGGGCATCTCTTCAGAGGAAAGCACACTGATACGTCCACACTAGTAACACTTCTCTTGTACCGGCTCTGCAAACCAGAGCCCTCTTCCTGGGCTTGCCTTCTCCTTACAAGCTTATAGATGGAGTTTAGTGGCTGGAATGCAGGCTCCGGACAGATTTGCAGGAGGACACCTAGCACACGAGTGCTAGCTAAATGCTGGATAAGAGTCTTTGAGATGAGGCCTTGAGTCCGGCTCCTTTCCATACTTTGGGCAAGGTCTGCTTCCTCAGTGGCTGAGCTTTTCTGTTCTATGTGCCGCCTTCAGAGCTGCTATTTTCCGATGAGCAGAGTTCATAGCTACCTCCCTGACAGTGGTGATGCTCACTATCCCTTCCTTTGACAATTTCTCTGCCTGCAGGTGCAAATGCACTGAGAGGCCCAAGGCTGGTATCTGGGGAGCCTGGAGGAGCTGTCACCATCCATTGCCATTATGCCCCCTCCTCTGTCAACAGGCATCAAAGAAAATACTGGTGCCGCCTGGCGCCTCCGTTGTGGACCTGCTACACCGTCGTGTCCACCAACCACTACACCCACCGTGACTACAGGGGGCGCGTGGCTCTCACTGACTTTCCACAGAGTGCTCTGTTCATGGTGAAGCTGTTCCGACTGTCCCCGAATGACACGGGACTTTACCGCTGTGGTATAGGGGACCGAAACGACAAGCTATTCTTCAGGATGAATCTGATTGTGTCTCCAGGTAAGAGTCGAGTGACGGCTGACGGGCCAGTTTTTGTAAGGCTGAGGTTGAGAAGAAACAGGCACAGGGGAAGGCTCCAAAGCCCAAGCATGACTCGGCTTTGAGAGGTGTGCTTTCGGCTCAGATGGACGTCATCTTTGAGAAACCAAATACTCGGAAAGAGTGCCCAGTGGAGGACATACAAGGTCGTCCGTCTGGTTCTTTCTATCCTGGATGCTGCAGAAAGAATGTTTGAACTATGTTTCAAAAACACTGCGTGAGGTAGATTTCTGTGATTCCAGAAAACTTGGTGTTCAGACATGCAGAGAAGAGGTAGTGCTGGTGAAGCCTACACGGGAGGACAGAAGGTTTGGGGCTAGGCTTTCCTACAGTAGCACCTTGCTGAGTCCCTCTGCAGACATCTGTAGCTCCAAGGCTCCGTTCCAAAGGCTGGTTTCAGATTCAGGCATAGAGGTCTAAAGCAGGTGTGTGTGTGTGTGTGTGTGTGTGTGTGTGTGTGTGTGTACGTACGCACACTCCAAAAAGATTGCTCTGCAGAACACCTAGTCAGAAGTGACCATATTCCCTTGAATGCTGGAGTCTACCTTCCTGCTGCAATTGAATGCTTATTTACTCCCTTGTTGAATAGTAGCACAGGCTCCAAGGTATCTGGATAAGGAATATGTAGACCTGAGGGACAAAAGTAGGGATGTAAAATTTGAATATCTGCAAAACCATAGAGGCACATTGAGATTGTCACCTTCTAATTTTATCCAACTTATTGCAGAAGATTTCCTCTCTTAATGAGCTGTATCCTACTTAATAAGCATTTTGATCAAATGTCCTTTGCTGGATCTAGTAGGTAGCATAGGGAGCATTCCCTCACGGCCTCTCTCTGTGCTTGTCCACACAGGTCCTTCCAACACCACCTATGCAGCAGCTTCAGCTTCTGGTGAGCTCATCACAGCATCTTCTGGGATAGGATCCACAGCAGCCAACAGAAGCACCCCAGGAGTCACCCAGATTCCAGAAGGCCAAGTCTCAGAACCAGACAGAACAGCTCCAACTACAGCCAACAGAAGCACCCCAGGGGTCACCCAGATTCTAGAAGGCCAAGGCTCAGAACCAGACAAAACAGCTCCAACTACAGGCAACAGAAGCACCCCAGGAGCCACCCAGATTCTAGAAGGCCAAGGCTCAGAATCAGACAGAACAGCCCCAAGTACAGCCAACAGAAAGACCCCAGGGGTCACCCAGATTCTAGAAGGCCAAGGCTCAGAATGGGGCAGAATAGACCCAACCACAGCCAACAGATGGACTCTAGGGGTCACCCAGATTCTAGAAGGCCAAGGCTCAGAACCCGGTAGAACAGCCCAAACTACAGCCAACAGACAGACTTTAGGAGTCACCCAGATTCTAGAAGGTCGAGGATCAGCATGGGACAGAACAGTTCCAACTACAAGAATAAGCAAAACTACAGTTTCAGCCAATGGAAGATCAACCCCAAGAATAGCCAAGACAACAGTTCCAGGGAAAAGCAACAGAGAGGAGGGCTCTATCAAGGCAACATTCCCCACTCCAGAGAGTCCAGCTTCAAAATCAAGAAGCATGTTCAATACAACACAGGGTGCTTGGATATTGGGTGCTAGAAACTCAGTAACAACTAGTGCCAGCACCAGCAAGGGTGGGAGGACAGGTACAGTTACAGAGGCTGAAGGACCACAGGAGGAAACAGAGGTCAGCGTATCTCCAGGAGCACCCGGAAAGATCACAGGAACCACCCGGCCATCAGTCCTGATCTCAGAGCCTGTGACTTGGGAAACTCTCCAAGAAGCAACAGAGGACAATTTGTCTAAGCGACGATTGTTGTACTCCGCAGAAGAGGCATCCCCAGATCCAAGTGCATGGACTTTGAATGCTACACATATGCAAGTGGCATCTGGAAGCATTGGTAGAACCCTAGAAAACACTGCTGGAGAAAGTAGCCCCCCAACACCAAGCAGACTTTCATCTGGGGGCCCGATGTGGACCCCTGGCAAGAGATCATCAATGAAGAGGTAAGCCTTGGGTCCCTGTCGGCCTTGCTTCCAGGCCAGCCCTTCCTCCTGTGGACCTCTTTCCCCTTGTATTTACAGATCAGTAAAGAGTGGGACGGGGTACTTAAGAGTCAGCTACCACCCTCCAAACTTCAGGGCCCCTGCGGCGGCGATAAGGCTGTCTGAATGCTTTCTGGTGGTTTGCGAGCAAAAATCTCAATGATATGATGAAATAATTTTTAGGCTGAAACCCTTGGAACTCTCTGTTTAATATGAGGGCCAGAACTCCAGGGAAGGGAAACAATTTGCTGAAGACACAAGGAAAACTTGTGACAGAGCCAAATGCCAAAGCCAACCTCCTGACCCTCACTCATCCTCTTCTCAATACGGCACACTGTGGCCCATGCACAGGAGGGTGGAGTGACGCAAAGGACTGGGGCTTGGGGAGCTGAACAGAGCAGCCCTGCTGGGAGCCAGTTACAGGGACAAGGGTACCCAATTGGCCCGGAGCTCATCTTGTCCACCTGTGAAATGAGAGAGACAGGCTCCCTGCTCCAGGGTCCTCTCACCCTTACCATGACTCCTCCCTCTGCAGTGTTTTTACAGAAGGAGAAAGCAACACTTGGATCCTGACTCCAGTTTCCAGTGTGCTGGCGCTGGTTCTGCTTGCGGCTCTGGTCCTCTTGAAAAGGAGACCCTGGAGGACCTGTGAGTTGAGCTTACGTAGCCCCAAAACTAGAGAGAGGAACGACCCTTTCCTCCTGATACCCTCAGGGTGGGTTAGGTTAAATTGAATATCCAGACATTTGGACTTAGAAAAGGTAGATTCTACTCTGAACCATTGAACTCAGCTTGGTCATGGCTTCATCAAATCCCTTCTCCTCTGCTTGTGCCTCAGCGTCATTCCTCGGCTTAAGGAGACGTGGAGGATGACAAGAACTATTAGCCGTAGGTGTGGGGCCACTCTGGCATACTTAATGTGCAGCCTGCGCTAATGACTCTCCTAGTACCGTCCCAGAGATGCAGGCTGCTAACGCAAGTGCTCCACAGTGCACATCTTGCTCAAAAGAGATGAGGCTTTCTCGGGGGGCGGGGGGGGGCAGTGAGAGAGACTGAGGCTCCCAGGGCCAGAAACCAAGTCATCTGGACCCATCACTATTGTTGTAATGGGCCCAGCTACCAGACTGCTGTCTTGGGAAATTCTCAGAACCGTGCCTCTCACTCTTAGGAAGGCAAATCTGTCTGTGTGCCCCAGGACACTCACAGCCTTCTCTTGCGTCTCTACAGCTCAGAAGACAGAAAGGTCACCAAGGATCACTCTGATTCAGATGACACATTTCCTACCAGACAAGCTCTCCGATGTGGGAAAGAGCTTGCAGCAAGGTGACCCTCCTGCCCAAGCCAGCCTGACTGTCCTAAAGAAGGACTCAGGACCCTGAGGATGGAAAGATAAACAGCTCAGTCACCATGGAAGGAGAACCAAGACCAGCTATCTCCATGGCTTCTTCACCCCTTTCTCACCTTCAGCCACACGAGCTGACTAAGCTCAGCCACTGAGGATGCCAGCTCGGGCCTCAGAGGGTCAGGCACTCTCCGCAGCCAAAGGTGACAGACGGTACATGGACTCAAAGAAGGCTTCAAGAAAGGGCTTTATGGTATGGCTGTTTTTCAACTGCCTATTTTTTTTTCCAGAGAAAGAGGGAGGCAGGGGGTGGGGGGATGCATGTATACAGAATCTCTTCATTCCTGGCAGTGTGGAAAAGGAGAATCTCCATTCCGTTGCTGCTGCCCCTCTGGGTGCCCTTCTTTCCCTATGCCTGTTAGCACTATGCCTGCCGCTCACACTCAACAGCCTTCTCACTTGCCAGGCTGCCCTGAGCAAGCACAGCCGTCGCTCCTTAAGCACAGGAATTTTATCTTATCCATTTCACTACATCTCCAGAGAACTTGCCACTCCTTGGGACCCTAGCCAGTTAAAAGGCCCATGCCTGTTTGGCCGGGGATGGCGTGGGTTTGGTGGGCCCTGGGGATCTACTTGGGTAAGAGGTATGAATCCCCAACGGCCTCTACCACTTTTGGTTGGGAGTGATTTGGATGACCACGACAGTGGATGGTTTCTATGTGAGACTGGAGGAAAGGACCACCCTTCTGTTTCACCGCATCTCCCCGTTTGACACTGTCCTCGTCACGCTGTCAATCTTTGATCAGGTCAAGATTTTCCGGGATTTTCCTAAACGATGGGAGAAGAGGGTACTTTTCAATAGGTTTTCACCCTCATTATCAATCCCCTCTTGTTGCCCTGTTTATGAATCTTTGATATCAAAGGCTGTGGGCAAAGCTGGAAATGATTTGGGAAAGAAGACAGAGGGACAGATGAGAGGAATTTTATGTGGATTCTGCCTTCTAACCATATCTGTCGGGGAACTTTTGGCCCACTGTTGACCCCACCATCTTTTCAGGAATCATATCTGCTCTTTTTTCTTTGCCAAGCGTGTTAGTATTCTTTATTTGGGCGGAACAGGCATTGGGCAACAGAAGCTTTGGGGAAAGAAAGTGCCAACACCAATTTAAGAGCTGTGACGTTGACATTTCCAGAAGTTTCGGCCTTGCCTTCTAAGCTGTCAGTGACATCGAAGTCCTCCAGAAATACCTCTTCATATCTGGTCATGACCCTAGATACTGAACCAGGAAAGCCCAAAGAGATACCCTCAGGGCTTATGAGAGAATTGTCCTAGGTAAGGGGGCAGGTTGAATGCAGGTTGAATGCAATTAGAAACACAGAAGTTCAGAGTTATAGAGACTTAAGTAGAGCAGCAGTTCTCAACTTGTGGGTCACGACCCCTTTGGAGGTGGAACCATCCTTCCATAGGAGGATACCCTATGTCAGATACCCTGTATATCAGATATCTGCATCATGATTCATAACAGTAGCAAAATCACAGTTATGATGTAGCAGTGACAATAATTTTATAGTTGGGGAGTCACCACAACATGATTAACTGTATTACAGGGTCACAAACAGCAGGAAGGTTGGGAACCACTGATCTAGAGGGAATCTGAAGCCCAGTGAATGAAGTCCCTTGTTCAAAGTCACCAAGTCACCAGGACACCAAGCTGGTAAAATGAGAGCAAAGATTAGAGCGTGTGTGGCCCTGGCCTAGTATCTTTGCACTTCGCCTCTTTCGTGTTAACTAAGAACTTGCCAAAAACCAATGCAACCATCACGCCAGACTGTGTTTTGCCTGCTATCTCAGCCTGTCTGAGAAACCAGTATGAGAGGCAGAAAAGTCACTACGGTCCCACCCCACCAATGAGCAAGCATTTCTTCACAGGTACATAGCTGAGACAAGACCACTTAGTTTGTTGATGGCTGTGGTGCGTCAAAAATGCAGGCTGTCTGGTCCATCTAACCTGTCAGTTTTTGCGGGGAATATCCATAGGCCATCTGCTTCTTGGGATGTTAAGAGACAGTCGGAGGAAATTAAGTCATGGCTCAAAGAAGTCTGGGGAATGCTAGGCTAATCAACAGATTCTTATATGCAGGACTTCTCAGAGCCTTAACTGTCCAACAGAACACGGTATAATTGAGAGTGGGCACGTCACGTGCCTGGACTATTGTGTTTAGCCAAGCAATCTCACTGAACTGGGTCTCCTTACATCCTTCATTATGGAAGCCAATATATTAAACCCAGACACGGCTAACTTCTCCTCCAAAGGCAAACACCTTAGATCTGGCAACGCGGCAGCCTCTGAGGCAGTCACTCAGCTCCACATCTGTAGCCACAAAGGGTACACAAACCACTGGCTAGCCTTTGTTCCAGCAGAACTCTCAGAGAAACAGGAAGCTGCATTTGGCTTTTAACCGTGTCAACTCATTTTCAATGCCTGCATTAAGTCGTAAGACTACACAAGACTTTTAGATACATAGATGACCTGAATGATCAGATCTATCTTCTCAGGAGCTTCCTGCCACCCCTTGCTAGACCTTCTCTTTCCTCTGAACTGCTCTGGTACTCTTTGTCCTGAACTGGGTAGCTATGGTACCCTACCCATCTTAGTAGAAGACAGAGAAGGAGAGGAAAGGAGCCCCTGCAGTCAGGTGCTGAGGCCGGGGAAGCTTCCAGGAGTACTGGTGTTCCAGAGGAACCTGAGATCTGCCAGGAGGAGCTGCCGGAGTCAGGCTGGGCCCGAGTGTTTGAAGAGAGGAGGGAGAAGATCTGGGCAGAAGCCTCAGAGAAGGAAGTGGGATAGCCCTGGTTTATAGCTCTCCTTTATGGCTCAACGGATTCCACAAATGGGGCAGGCTGTGCTTAAAGGGCCAGCGACAAACCACACAGAGCAGGCCAGCTCCACCAGCACCATGTTCCTGCCGCTGAAGTGAGGTCAGGCAGTACTTCCTTACTGTGCTAGAATCAGAGGCACGTCCATTCCAGGGTTCAGGGTTGCCACTGATTTTTACAAAGTGAAACAGCAGGGCACAGCCCTCGAATGCTCCTTCTCTTTCTACTTATTAATTAATGTAGTTAACTTCTCATTCACATGTTACAAAACAGCTCATTCTGTGTGCACTATATTTCCGAAATATGTAATTATGGCCGTTCTCATTGTATGGATGAGGAAAACTGACATTCAGAGGAAACATCTCATACTCGCAAGGGAAAAGTAAGCTGGGCCATGTGGCCCACCAGCAGTCTCTGTCCTTGATCACTACTATTTTGTCCCCCATCTTCATTATATTTATTAAGAGCTGTAAATCAACCATGCCAGGGTGGGGGTGGGGGGAACCCACTAAAATGACTGCTTCAAAGTTAGGGGCAAGGTTTTTATTGTGATAAGAGAGAACATCCTGAGGCACCTGGAAGACTCCAGAGCAGAGAGAAAGAAGCAGACAGAACGTGAGCACGGCTAGGGAAGCAGGAACAGCAGAGAAGAGCGAGAGAGGATGGTGAGTGTAGCATACTTGGGGTCAGGGAGGGGAAATCCTTGCTGTTATATACAGGACAAACCGGTGTGGGGAAGAGGGAAGATTGTGAACACACAGCCTTGGGCTAGCATAGTGGAGGAGGAGTGAGGGAAGGGAGAAGGGAGAGGAGGCTAGCACAGACTTGGAAATGTATAGCATTTACAGAAGAGTCAGCTTGGGCTTCGGGATGTCCTCTAGGGATGCTCTATATGTGTCAGTAGGAAGCCAGATGCCTCAGCTACCAGTGGAAAGGGAGATAGGGATGTACCTCTTTCTGGTTGACAGAAACCCTCTCAGGGGTTCCTGAGGAATTCTGACAGTATCCTTTAGCTGCACCAAGACTGTCATTTCTGGACACCTGCACTGCCCTTTGGAGTTTGGGGAACTGGGGTTTCCTTTACCTGACAAGAACCTTGTCTTCTAGTCAGGCCTTTCCCTACTTAGAGTTTTAGGAGGTTGCTTGTTTCTCTCCGTGAGACTTTTGTGTGGCAAGTTACACAATCACTTCCAGTCACTGGTTCTCTTTAATCACTAACTGGTTTATTTTTGTCTAAGCTTAGTGGGATGTGGGGTGGGGGAGTTCACGAAGCCAGACTGAGAGCTGAAACTTCAGCCCTGAGGTACTTGCTGGCATTTAGACAAATGGAGCTCAGATGCCAAAGTGTAAGTGTGTAAGGTGTGTAAGAGTGTAGGTACTTGTATCCCAGGTGCTTCTCACCGCACCCTACTGAAAGACTAGGAGTAAAACAGACTCTCTGGTGGGCAGAAAAGGAGAGGGGCCATGACTGGGTAATAAAGGTGGCAAATCTCCAAGCTTCTTCCTCACACTCCTGACTTGAGACAAAAGCCTAGCGACTTCAAACAAAGGCTTTGTGAGCTTTTGTCTCCCAGCAGCAGGCCACTTGCTGGCAGACTGGCCTACTCAGGACATGTCACAATAGTTGTAGGCCAATCAACAGTCCTTCTTTTGTCAAACTGACCAACCCTACATTAAGGGAGGAAAAATCTTGACAGGGTTTTAAACCCCAATCCCTCAGAAGAGATTGGAGCTGTCAGCTTTCCCAGATCCCCCTCGGCTTTGCTGAGGGTCCTTTTCTGGGTGTCTGCTGCACGTGTGTGTTTCCTCACTGCCAATAAACACCAACTGTCAATTTTTGTCTGTGGTGCTCGAGGTTTCTCTGCAACTGCCTGTTTGCGTTCCAGGTTTTTCCTGCTTTTTAGTTCCGTAACTGGCAGAGAACAACCAACCTGGTCAGGACCCTTAGATGGTATGATCGCAAGACCCCTAGACTGGACCACTGCTCACACGGCAGAGGTGGTTTCTTTGCCTCAGACAGGAGGTTCTGAGAAATACTGATACTATTAATAGCTGCTGGCGGCTTGACAGACATGCTCTGGACACTCGGCACTGGAAGTGGACTCTGTAATTCTGTAATGCCCGTGTGTGGCACCCAGGAGCACCACTCTCTCCATTCTTCATCAGTGCCGCAGTGGCCTCCCGCTCCCCTCGCTGTCAGCAGGAAAGGAAGCCCAACTCAACTGCCCACTTGGAGGGGAGCCTTCTGCTGAAACCTAGCAGAGAGGTGGCAGCTGCATGAGGACTCCCCCCCACACCCCAGAGGCTCTTGAGAATTGTAATTCTGAAGTCGACACACACTTGTCAATTAGGGTCACTTCTTTCTCCGAGCTGCAAATTCCTGCCACCCAACTCAGAGTATTTTAGAG